TAATTAAAGTAGCACTAGACTCATTTTTAACATTTTTAAAATCATCCTCTGCTTACCGGTTTTCCAACACATGCTTTCTGAAAAATTTTCTAAGCACATTACTAAGTTAGTAGTCACCTTTTTGTGTTTGAAGAGTTTTCAACTAGATAAGCCAGAAATAGATCTATTATAGTCTTTCTTTCAATTACTTAATTGCAAAAATATATTTTGATTGATTTTAAGTGTTTTTTGCTTTTTTCCATTTGTGAATAACCATGAGATAATAATCTAGGAGAGAAAACTAGGGACAAATTTGCATATGCAAACATGTATATACACACTATCTCAGGTATCAGAAGTAACAGCCTGGTTAATATGACAGGCTGCCATAAGTAGCCATGCTACCGTATTTTGGTATACATATTGTACTATGTAGCATTTCTGCTGTTCCCCGAACAGAGGGGAAGATTCCAGAAAGATCTCACCCTCCTAATAGATTTGTAGCTTAACTTTTTAGGAGTGAAATAAAGAATTAGTCATTAATTTAGCTTCTTCACAAAGATCAATTTTTTTCCATCCTCCTTCTATTCAGATTCACAGTGTAGCCATTACAGAAAAGCTGCACAAATGACAAATATATTTCCTTCAGGAAAGGAACAGGCTTAGGGGATATTATGCAAAATTTTGAAAGTTAGTCTGTTCACATATAATGTTACTGTGGGTGGAAACAAGTAATGGAACCATGTACAAGAAGCATAATTATGAAAGTAACTTCCATTGCGCCATTTCATCGACCATTCTGTTTTGGGGTAATGATCTTATCTATTATCATTCCTTTTAAACCATCAGCCTACATTATCTACTTGTGTGTTATTTGATTGCATTAGCTGACTACTGCTCATCTGTCAGACTTCCTTTGCTATTCTCCTTTTTTTTTTTTATCCTACCCTGCTGTCACCCGATACCATTTTGTGCTTATCTATACATTAAAACGTTTTTATAGCTAGATCTTCTCTTTCAGTATGCACCCCTAGCTTTCACTGAACATAGGAGCAGGATTATGAGTGAAATAACGCACATACTATTAACAACCAGTTCACAGCATTAGATAGTACAGCACAAACCAAATTTAAGAAAGTCAGCCACAGAGTGGTGCAACTTAGAATGGTATGGACTTAAACAGGAAAAAAAAAGAAAAAAATAACTTCTGCAAAAAAATGGAAAATAAAAGGTTAAGAGTGAGGAACATTTTCATTCTGCAGCTATTATGTTTAAGGTATTCCATTTTTCAAAACTACCTACATGGAATTTTGTAAGCAGAATATCTGTTTTGCAGGAGAGAGAGGAATAGATATGTTCAAAGTCACAAATAATCCAACACAAACCCTAAACAATATATTCCAGATTTTCAGTGGTAAATTTATTTTTCAATAACCACTGTACCAATCTATGCTGAAAGTAGTGCGTTTTCCTCAATCTAGATTAAGTTTTCACCAATATTTCCACTTGATTAGAAAGAATTCTCAGTATGTTTTGCGTAATTGCTTATTTGAGGACTTACTTAAAATTCCTTAGAAGTTATATTAAATTCCAGAGACTCGAAGAGAATTTGTGTCAGCTCCTGTTCAACACACAGCTGGTTCTGACATGCAGTATTATAATCGTTATCAGTGGATATCATAAAAGACAAACTCAGCTTTTACATATGTAGCATTTCATTTTAGTGCCTGCAACCACAGTGAGAATGTGTGAAATTTTTCCTAGAAATCCTTCCTTTGCCTTGCCAGATAACACAATAGATTACCTATATAAAAATGTCACCTGACTGAAGAGAGTAACACATACAGAGTAAATGGAAGTGGTATTTCTCACATATTCCTATCTTGCCATTATGCATGTGAAAATAATTGGTACAGAGAAGAGAATTCACTGCTATTGACTTCACTATTTCTCTGAACATACATTGCTTCCCATTCAAGTGATAAAGTCTATTTAGTCTGCTTTCCTTTCTTGGTGAAATCAGAGCATTCCAAATATCAGGCTTCCATTCAGGGACCTTTCATTTTCTACATTCCACTTTCAATATTAGATATGTTTACATAAAATTTTGCTCAGCAGCCACTTGTCAATACGGTTCCTTGCATGAGATCCCTTGGCACAATCACAGACAGTCATACGATGCGAGAAGACACCTTCTGCACAATCTCAGTATCAATTGATGAGGAAAAGACAGAAGAGACAGATAATGAAGATTGCATCTTAAAGCATCTGAGCAACTCATAATTTGTCAATATAAAATTTGTGGCTACTGAAATAACATCAGCCTAAAGTGGAATATGAGCTATACCCTATAAACAAGGAAAACTACTTAAAAAAAAAAAAAAAAAGTGAGTACCAACATGAATATTGGCATCCAGATGATATACCAATATAATCTGACGTTTCTAAAACATTTGCAGCAATGCACATCAACGCTGTGGAAAGTGACACTTCAAGTACGTGACCTGAAATACTAGATAATTTGTGAAAAAAATGCATATCAGCTTTCATCACGTCAGCAAGACAAGTTCTTTGTTGCTGAATTATTCAGGCAGCTCATCACTGAGACGGACGATAATATCACAAAATCATTAATTGCAAATGCCTGTTTTAGTAATTTGTTCCTAGGAATCTCAGCTATAAAACAAGCCTTTGAAAACAAGCCTAAACTAAAATTGTTAATAAGCAGAGAAGAAGAATGCAACTTTTGTCCTTGTACAGTTTGTCAAAGTATTGTTTCTTATTTTCACTCTCTGGTCAGACTAAGGAGACCTTGTAAAGCCAGATCAGTTAATTCCACAAATATATGAGTGTACTTACCGGTTGAAAAGCTGTAGAGCTGTTTTCTCTACTTTCCATTGTAAGTTTCGACAATCTCAAAGAATCTGAAGTCTCCTTTTGCTAGTTTTATACCAGTTTAGGGCAAAAGTTTCAGAAAGATATTGTCAGAAAGACTTACATAATAATCTGAAGGCAGAGTAGTACCCCTTCTTTTCTAATTTAGAACTGATTTAAATTCCCTCTGGCCTTTTCCTGTGGAGGCAAGGTAACCAGTAAACCCAAGGATAAACCTGCTTGGTTGCCTCGTTTACAAAAACGGTATAAAAAGGGCCTCTAAGCAGAAGGAAGTGTCCAAAGTAGTTGCTGTGATAAAAGGAGTTTTCAAGGCTGAATGCCAGATGCTGCTTCCAAAGACTGTTTTTAAATTCTGAAATACTTTGTTCAGTAGATCAGGCCATACAAAGACTGAAACATAAAAAGTGTATTTTTGTTTAAAATTAATAGGAATATAAGGCTCCCTTTAAGCTTTGAAATAAAGTAGGGCTGTGGGAAACACAATTAGCGGTCATTTTATATTTTATACACAACTATTAAAATTACTGTGCTTTAGCGTAATGACAGATAAATAAGACATTTCATTTGTCTCTTCTGTAGCTGCCCTGCGTGCTGTTACCAAAAATATTTAGTTCTCTATAATAGAACTTAAATCCTCCAGATTCTGCGTTATTTTTTCTTTTAGATCACATTTAGCATAAAAGTATTTGTCTAAGTAATAAACAAAATCAAACATGAATATCCATTAATATTTCTCTCTTAATTAGGCTAGCCTCGCAGAAACAGACAAAACAAACCTCTGCTAATACAGGAAGTTCTGGTTGCAGCAGTTTAGATTAAAAAATAATCCCGTTTTACAATTACAGAAATTTTATTTTCAGGCCAAAAACGCTTAAGGAATTACCAATCTTTAAATATCATTCTTTATAAAACTATCTAAAAGCTATTAGACAGCTATTACTATAAAAGTTTTTTTCTAAAAGTATCCCCTGAAATGTAGTTGTCTCATAGATCACACCAGCCTGCTATCTGTGTTTCAGAATCCTGTGGAAATGATAATATAGTGTGACTGAGAAAACAAGCTTTACAATAATTAAAGATTCTTATGAAACATGCATTTAATGCTAAAAACACAAAGTACCAAAAGCATAATGGATGTTAGAACTCTGTAACAGCCTATTGCAGAGTACCTGTATGTAGAATACAGAACCTTAATCTAGGCAATTCTAGATTTGTAGCACAGTATTATGCATGCTTTTAGATAAAAATTATCACGAAAACACCAGTAAAAACTGTTCTGCAGAGTACATTACTTCTGCAGAGTACATTACTTCTAGCGCTTGAAAAAGAAAAGAATGGAGAACCTCTTGAGGTTAAGCCATAAGTTGTACATTTACAAACAATTACATTTAACAGAAAGGAGAATTAAGTATCTCCCAGTCCAGAGTGGGAACAACAACAAAAAAGCATGTTTTGATTTAAAAATCAGTCATAATTCTTTGACATAACAGTGGATGAACTGTTGCAGAAAATGCATCACGATGAATACTGTGTTCAGTGGATTACTAAGCAAGAGGGCATGTTGGTTTTATATGGCTAGGCGGCTTTTCTGGTGCTTTAGTTGAGGTTCCTGAAAATATTCCTACACTCTCCTATACTTAGACGATTTTTATCTTCCATTGAATGTGTCTATATACCATCTGTAACTTCCTTAGAAGGAGAATCCTACCCTGTATATCACTCTTTACTGATCATTTGCTACACGAAATCAGTTCTTCTAAATTTTCCTAAATTCCTGAAGCCTCCCACCTGACTGTGTCTCTTCATTCCATGCTGGGCATCCCACGCCCTAAATTCTATGCAGTATAAATGTTTTCTAAGAGGGCTACTGCCTCTTAGAGGAGTCGGTACGAATCATTTCAGTCCTTCATTCTATACAATTTTTGGTCCCTTTTGCTACAGAGAATTCCATTCACCGCTTCTATCAGTCAGATTAATAATATGGGAGCCTCCTAAAATTCTTTTCATGAGATGCCTATTTATTTAAGCTGTAACCTAATTAAACCCTTTTAAAAAAACTCTGTTTTAAAATTCTTTACACACATTGTGACAATTTATACAATTTAATAAAGTTCTGCATCCATTACCTTTACAGATGATTTAGTCCGAGGTTCTGTTTTCTGTCTGGTAAGCTTGCTTTGAATAAGCAATGACTGATCTGTACGAGTATCGTAATTCCCATGTTCTGAATCATCTGTGTATGTGTCTTTGTCCTTTCCTATGTCTGAAGGAAAAACAGAACAGAACAGTGGGCTCATTTTAGGTTATCACGGAGAGAAACTAATAGTAACGTTACAGCTACAGTTGATCTTGAATATTCCTTTTAAGTATCCACTTTTCAGTGACCTATATTTTATCTTTTCCTACAAAAGCTTCTTACTTGAATTATCATGCTCGTCTCAAACTAGAAGCGACTTTTTTGGTACAAAGCCTACAGAAACTTTTTTCTATTACCATCCAAGCAAAAAAAGCCCACAACGTTCTTCATAGCAGTTAAAAACAAACAAGCAAACACAAAGTGATACAAAGCAAACATTCAGATGCTTTTGTACTTGACTCACAATTGTTGAGACACTTTATCAGACAGACAGCTACATCCTGGAGACAGAATAAGGTCTCATGTTCTAAACTTAAATAACCAATGTAAATGCCTGATTCCCCTGAGCACCTGCTGCTCATCATTAGACATAATGTTTGAAAACTAGCCTAATAAGGTATTGCACTGACCACTTCAGAGGACTCATTTTAATATGCGTATCTGATGGTGGTAGAAAATAGCTTACACTGTGAAGCAAGTGCTTTAATCTTCACTGGATTTATTCTTAATTACTCAGCCAAAGTGTTTATAAAATATTTGTACTTCCTAAGACAGCTGCAGGTGACGAAAGACCTTCCTCAAGGCTCGCCAAGATTCACTCTCAGTCACGTTTCCTTCTGCATTATCACTGCAGACAAGTTAGAAGGACTAGAGTAAGTCTGAGTCACTTTATGTCCTCTCTCAGGAGGGAAATTTTCTTTTAGATGGTTAATTTCCGTGCACATTCTCCATCTAAAAAATCATTACAATACTTGCCATATATGCCCAACAGGGATAAAGTGAGGGGTAATGGCTGTACAACATTGGAACATTTAAAAATATACAAAACTTAGAGCAAATCAGACCATTATTATGTGCAATTTTTAAGTGCATGTTGGAAAGCAGTTAGTTTTGAAAAAAACATTTTAAAGATGAAAAAATGGAATGATTATTCCCACAACAAATATATCTTGGGCAAACTGCAAATACAAACGTATTCATAAAGGTTCCCCACAAATCCTGAGCCAAGTTCTCATCTCAGCTTTCACACGAACATGAGGAAAATCAGAGTATCTGGGAACAGCGTTCAGCCCAATAATTCTAAATCCTAAACAGAAGCCAAGAAACAAGTCATGGTTGCTGTGGGGACTACGATCTTGTATCTCCTGAATTTAAATTCCTAAAAGCTCGTATGAAATAACACAGTATTTTTCATTAAGTTGTTCAGCTGAATTCTATATTGTAAAAATGAGCCCTCAGTAAATGTTGCTGTTGATATAAACATCAGTAAATCCGTGAAGGGATTTCTTAACGTATGAAATAACCCATTTTGATTGGCAGAGATTCTACCTCAGGGATTTTCTTTATTTTAAACAATGTTTCAACCTAATATATGGGTTTCAATCTAATATATGGTCAGTAAAAATGAATGCAGTAAAAAGACTGTGAAGAAGGTTTCAGATAGTAGGTATACAAGGTAGGAAACAGGATACTTAAGCCACTGTGCAGATTTGACTCACTCCCAGATATGATGAGCTGTTAGCTTTTACTAAAGATCAGGACCTTGGAATAGAAGCCAGTAAAATGAAAAGAAGAGAAAGGCATATGAAACCTCGGCTCTTGCATCTAGATAGGCTATCTGAGTTCAAAGGAAGACTTATATAAGTCTAAGCCTGCTTTTATGAGGGAAGTTTTACAGAATTGGACATGATGAGTACATCTAACACTCTAAGAAAAAATCTGCAAAAATACATAAGGTTTAATTTAAATAATTTACAGTTATGAAATGAGTTTCAATTTTACACTTCTAATTTTTTCTTCTAATTATTAAACATTTTTGCATTTTCAAGGACACAGCCTTTAAATTGCAGCAGGTATTTTCTGTGAAAAAATTACCTTCCTTTTAGATATCTGCTATCTTGTCTAAAATGTGAACACAATAATCATAAAAATATAATAAAATTTAAAATTAAAAAGGTAGGCTTCTTAAAATTTAAAAATAATTGCTATTGCATCTTTTAATAGTTGATGATTTATTTTATGCACCTAAAGAAGTGTCTTATAAGGTAACATCAACAATAGAGCAAAACGGAGAAGATCAAAACATAGCACTTAATCATTTGGATAACTGTTTATTTTACAGGTGTCTGAGAAAGTATGTTAGAGCGAAAGCCATAGTGTCCCATGCATATTTTAAAAGTATGCACGTGTATTTTCTTCTTAACATTTACTTAGTTACAGATATTACTGTCACAAAAACACCTAAAATATACTTATGTAAATGCTTTGAACCGAATACCTGTCCCATTCATGTCTTTTGCATCATCTACCATGATGAAAATTTAAGTATAATTAATTAAAGAAAAAGTTCAATGGATCGCGTCACATTTATGTACCAGAAAAAGAGAAAGAATAATTGTGAATACATGTGGTATTAGGAGGCTTATTTTCTTCCTTATGCTGATTTTTTTTTTGTAAATTTCTTTTTATTAGGTTCAAAAATGTCAAAGAATAAAAAATGAAATATTTTGGTTTAGACAAAGATCTCAAAGGAAGATAACAGAAGTGAAACTTTTAACAAAAACATAGTTAATGGTATTTTACAATGGCTTTTCCTGTAATCAAGTATTCATCATTTTTATTAAAAGAGAAACTATCTGTTTTGTAATTTTCCTATGCACCAAGCCAAAATGACATTCCCTTAAAGACAAACTGCCATCCTTTCCCCACAATCTCTATTAATTGGTTTTGTATTTTAACTGTCAATTAGGACTACCACAAATCAAATCAAGATAGCATCACTCAACGTTGCCGCAGAAGTTGTACAGCCCAAGGATGTTTTCAATTTAACCTACCCTACTCCGTACCAAAATGGATTAGCAGTCTATTTGATTCCATTTGATGGATAAGTATCCATCTTTAAACTCACACACAGAGCCTTTATTTGGCTGCAGCTTCCACAAAACGCGATGAGAAAAGCTTTGCTCTTTCAAGCCCTTTCCCTCTACGGTGTGAGAAAGTTGCTATTGACTTCACTTTTTATTTCCCATCATGCCTTCCCTGGCCTATGGCAACTAATGTACAGAAAATCTTTACTCAATGTAAAATCTGGTAGAGTTGGCAAAGTCTTTAATTCTTGTTCATGCAAATATTTTTCTGTTTCTCTCTTTCCATGGAGTCAAACAAAAAATTGCAAAACAATTCAGCTCTGGTGGGAAGATTTCTGGCTAAAAATCAGCTCTCCTATAATAATGTTCCAGGGAATGACAAATCTATGACAAACCTAGAGGTACCTGAGAAACTTGTGAACTCTCAGCAAAGCCTAAAAAGGTATTTAAAAAAAAGTGTAAATAAGAAAATTGGCATTATTAGGTAAAGAAGAAAAAATGTCTCTGAAGTCAATAACATTTTCAGATTGCAAATGGGAGGATAGGGAGGATAGCGTATGCTCATGTCCATGTCCTCAGAGTGATGCCAAGGACATCTGTCTCCTTCCGTAACCCTTCTCTTCTTTGTTTTTGCTTTCCTGGAGGGAATACACTTTTCTTCAAGACTATTCAGGTAAAATGTTACTGCTATAGTAAACAGGATGTGCATGACCCTTTATACGAGCCCATTATGTGAGTTTTCATAGTACACACTAAAAAGAGAAGGGTTTAAACATCGATCCTAAAAACCTTATTTTGAAAGAATATATATTTGTAGAACTGAATATAAGTAAGAAAATAAACAACGTACAAAGCAACTATAATGAATTTTTCAACAGGTAGCATATACTGTACAAATATTTTGCTGATGAATTTAACTGTACCATTTAACTGTATTAAGACTCATTTGGTAGTAAAAAGCTCTTTGGACGTTGTTACATAATAAGCTTGATTCAAAAAATCATTAAAGTTGAATATACAATTTGTAAGCCCCAAGTGGCCTACGACAGAAAGGAAAATCAGTAAGTTATTAAGACTTCAAGTATTCTTAATTCTCCATTAACAAAAGGAAAGTTTCCTGTATTAAACTGTTTAACTTTCTCTAACACAAAAACAAGACAGGGGGAAAAAAGCCAAATTTTAAATAAAGGTTAGCTATTAATTCAGAGGAAAAGGTGAGCTTTTCCAATTCTAGATGCTGACACCAAATCGCATTTCACTGAAGCCAATGGGAATTCTGCTATTCAGTTCAGTAAGTCGAGAATTTCTCTTTAATTAGGTACATATTTATAGCAGATGTACCCATATAATTGTTAGCATTTCTGAACACACATCTAAATAAGGTAATGTATACTGGTAACATGGATCCACACTCAAGAAGCGATTATAAAAACATTCAAGCATTAATCAAGAGGATAACAGATCTATTCTCCACCAGAGTTGTTGCTTTGTTTTACTACCCTGTAACAGAGAAGCATGAAAAGTAACCTCCGTCTTTACACATCACAAAAGGTACCTACCCTTTCTGACATATAGTTTCATTATTCTCAGCGTGCCAGAGTAAAATTTGCCCTGAGGACACTTACAGGATAAAGCGTTGAAGAGACTTTCATTTCTGGGAATCTTTTAGCTAAGAACGAAGAAGTAGTTATTTTAGAACTCAATTCTAGCTCCACGCTTTGCCTCTTCATCTCTGTGCCTTCTTAACTGATTGGCTTAACTGATCTTTCTTTCTACCATACTTTTCTGAAGGACCAAGAGTGCATTTTAATTTTATGGCTATCACAACATGAAAAAAGCACTTGCCCCAGTTTCTCCATAACACAGAATGTAATATTATATTTTAGATACCTGTAATGTAGGGGCGTAAATGGTTTTCATTTTAACGATGCCATAGATATGGAAAATTAATACAAAAATTGCTCCTAAATAATTTTTGTTTCACAGACTTAGGTAGCATGATTCTTGGCTCAATCCTTTTACTCTGGTTTAAACAATTAG